TCAATATACTCTGTTTGCACACCCCAAGTGAATTCACCCTTACCTCTGCCCACTTGACTCTCATCAAGGGAGATAATTGACTATTCTTCATTCGTAAACAAAGTTGTATCCCCTGAGTCAATTATCTCTCTTTCTGGAGAAAGAGTCTCATGAAATATTGAGCACGGCCCACCTTCAGCTAACAGTCCCTCAAAACACATCTCCTCATCAAGTGGGTTACTAAAATCTTGTTGCACAACTTTCTGCTTGGCAGAGTTTTTGACGCCACTTGAGGAAGTGTGTTTCGTCACTCCCCTGAGTGGAATGGCAGAGGTGGAACATAAGGAGGTGGTTTCTGATATGGTGGTGGTTGCATCTCCACCTCTGGTTCTTCCTTTACCTCCTTCACCTCCACTGGTAGGAAAAAATTCTGATGAGAAAGTTGCTCTTCCTTTCTTTATGAGATTTCATTCAATTTTTGGAGTCCTTGTTGTATTTGTTCAACTCTTTGCTCCAACTCCTTTAAAATTTCCTGAAATTTGTCCCACTCTATTTGACTCATCTCCCAGTCGAGCTCACCTTCATAGCACGGGGACATTGGTAGATCAAAGGAGTAATAATCCTGCTCATAAGAATCAAAACTATTAAAAGCACAAGAGGGATTACTATAACTAGGTGGAATTTGTTGGCAATTATTCCAATAATAAGAATTTTTGATATATGAAGGATAATCTGCCATTAAATTTCTGAGTTGGCACACTTCTCAAATTATAAAACTAAAGGGAAAAAAAAACAAAAACAAACAAATGCTTAAAAGAAGTTTTTCGCCGTCCCCGGCAACGACTCCACTTTTGGTGGGTTGTCGAAGCCCTCAAAATAAATTACCAACTTAAACTGTAGATAGGATAAGTCGGGTCGATCCCACAGGGACGAGTTAAACTTCAAATAACCGGAAAACAAACAAGAACACAGTAGTTGCCGAGTGTCACTCATTTGCATGAGTGGTAAAGTCACTCACACAAGTGACTCTACAGAACTGAAAACAAACAAAGACAAATGAAACCTCACTCATGGGAGTGAGAATTCCGACTCAAGGGACTGACTCAACAAACTGGATATTCATTCTCTTTTCCCTATGTAATCAATTTGTAATCTTGCACTCTTTTGGTATGAATTCATGCTCATTCAGGCACTAATATATATCTAAGTCACTTCTGATTTTTCCTAGAGGTATCTTTATGAACTCAATTAAACTATTTTCCAATGATTAATCAAGTCATAAAGTCATTAAGTTTTCAAGCCTTATATGAATGCTTATGCTAACCAAGTATATTCCTATCTCAATTAGAACCTTCGACTGTTACCTCCAAGTCATAAGTTGAAGCTAAATGATTCTGAACCTGGTTTACCCTTCTGGGATTCACTTAGTTCTGTGCACAATCAATCAAATGGCCAATTTAATCAAGAGGTAGATGAAAGCTTTAACTTCAAAATACAAAATCATCCGAATGCATTCACAAACTTAAACTACATAGGTTCCAGAGAATGAAATCTAATTAATTGCACACATAAACTATAGAAAATACAAGAAAAGAAGGAACGCATAGATAAGAAGCAAATCTGGATGGCTGAGCAACAGGTCACTCGCCTGAGTGACAAAGGTCACTCAGGCGAGTGAGGTCTGTTACTTCTCTTTTTCTGCTACTGGATTTCTTCTTCTTGGAGTTTCTTGATCTCCTCTCCAGTCTCTTCTTCTCTCTCTATTGTGTTTTGTGTGTTGTATGTTCTCTGATGTATGTCTTTCTGCTGGGAATGCAGCCTAATACTTGTTCCTAAAGCCCCTCTTTTCCAGCAGTTATGCACTTAGGTCATTACCTATGCAAAAACACAAAACTAGTTAAGTAAAATGAACTAATTGTAAGAAACACCCCTAATTCTCCATTAATTTCGGAGTAGATTGTAATGCTTTTTGTGTAACAAATTAACCATTATCAATTTCATAAGCTAAACTGCAGAGACAGTTTGATATATCCTTTCCCTTTTGCTTACAATAATCAGCATCCTAGGCAGCCTTGAGTTCAGGAGGAGTAGCTACTTTCAGTTTGGAGCTCCATTGCCACTAGTGAATCACTGATCACTCCAGCTCCTTTAATCTTCAAGTAAGGTAATAAATCCTCCAATAAGACATCATTGATACCATAGTGAAAGTAGGATAGGATTATCAATTGTGCCTAGTGATGAACACGGTTACGCACAAAGAATTTATGACAAAAACAACAAAAACTATACAAAAATAAATGAAGTGCAAAAATGATAATATAGGGTAGGAGTAATGGTTCATGTAACGTATATGTTACATGGAAATAGAAGATTGATTATAATTCGCTAAACTAAAAAAAAAATTATGAATTGTGGCACTCTATAAACTTGTTAGATTCTAACAAAATAATGTACGCAAAACAAAAGAAAATAAAAAAATATAATGCAAGTTGAAGTAAAGGTTTATAAAGTATGTAGTACTCAATATATTTATAGAGTTTAATTAATGTCAATATAAGAAATGGTACTAAAAAATTTTGGTGACAGATGGTGGAGAGGAGAAAAAATTGGTACTCAAAAATTTAATTTCATAGATTGGGTGAACATGCTGAATATGGGAAGATGGGAATTCTCCAAAAAAAAAAGAAACAGAAAAAGAAAAAAATGAAAAAAACACGTAGAGGGAGAAAAGGTGAAAGGGGTGGGGAAAAAAAAGTTAGGTTTGACTTGAATAGGATAATTTTGTCACAAAGATAACAATCTGTTTTGGATACTAATTTATGTTTTGGCAATAACAACACCCTATAAAGAATATATGCAAAGAAAAATAAATAAGTAAAAGCAAAAAAAAAAAAAATAATAATAATAATACAAGACGGGAGATGGATGATTATAACTTGTGTTCATTTATATGTAGGGGTTAGACTCTCTGTCAAAATAAATAATTTATGCGTCAGAAGATAATACAAGACGTTGGAGTAAGAGATGGAAAATTAGAGTTTGTTTTGCTCAATATCTAGTGGCTAATTTTGGTCAAAATAAAGAATTTACTTGAAAAAAAAAATTAGAAACAAAAAAAAAAAGAAGAAGAAGAAGTTGGAGGTAGTGGTTGGTAAAGTATATGTTATAATGGAGAACACAAACTCTTAAAGTTTGGGAAAACAAAACAACACCGAGACTTTTATCACAAAAGAGGTAGATAACCTAAGAAACATTGATATCACACGGGTCAACAGGGTTATATCAGGCACTTGACTCTTAAAATATGATTTGAATCTGGTACCGAGATAAAGAAAAACTCAATATAGCGGGTGATTGAGCGCTTGTCCCGGCATTAACGTAAATGGATCAATTTCAGGTGAAAGATATCTACTAGTATCCAACAACGTTGTGAAGTAAACATTGTTGACAAAGAGCACAAAACTCATAAATATTTTTTCATTTGTTTCCTTACATTCAATCTAGCATAAAACAAATTAAATTAAGAGTGGGAACTTTAGTCCAGCAAAATTAGAACCGTTTGGGTAGAATTTTTATTGCAACAACATACTTTGTTAGGAGAAAAGAAAGTAAAAACGTGATAAATAAGTGATTACGACACAATTGTTGATGATATCAACATCATCCACACAACAAGACACAACTTTGGAAATTCCCTGTTTTAGAAGCCCAAGGTTTATTTTATTGAGAATTATTAACTTTACCCTTTTTCTTTCTTTGTAAACTTACGGTAACTTTTTCACTTTATTTCCCGTGTTGAGATTTGAACCTATATTTATGTGTGTACATATGTGTTATGGACATGAAAACTCCTAGTCGTTAAGCACATCTATGAGGGAAAAGGTTATGAATTTCAGATGTGGTATGGACTAACTTTTCAAAAATTAGAGAAGAGACGTGCCTGCATTCAAGTAACAACTTATTATGAAACTGACCTCAGGTGAAGAATTCCGTGATTTATACAGACTTGTAGCCTGATTGCATGTTCTTCCCCTAATTGAAATCCGTGAGGATAATAGTAATGCAATACAGGCAGTATTTGACAAGTTTTTTCTTTGATTATAATCTGACAGCTAAATTTGCTTCCAGTCGCAAACCCTAGAAGATATTTCCTTTTTAAGTAAAATCTACTATTCTCACAAGCTTCAGTTTTGAGTTCATTATTCCTGCTGAAATCTACTAAACTTTTTTTGTGGCCTTACCACAAGGATAGCTGAATGTAGTTTTGGCTATTTTATTCCATCATGCATTCGTTATAGCTGAATCGGTTCCATTTCTTTCATGCTTGTCAATCATCTTCCCACGGTAAATGGCACAATAAAGTTACAGAAAATTTTTTTTTTAAAGAAATTTCAGTGAAGAAGAAAGAGTAAACCTACGAGTAAAATTAATTGACATAAATTCAACAATCAACATATCCATTTACGCAGATTAATTAACGATCAAGTAAACCACTAATCCGCAATTTCGTAGTTTCTATTATCGATATATTGTATTCTCTTATAGTCAAATTATCTCTAACCCGGATTTGATCTATATTTAAATGGAAACATATTATGTCGTTGGACTGTCCGTACATCAACTCGGAGGGGGATAAGAATCCGCTTAGTAAGTGGTCACCTGAATTGTAATGAGACTAGGTAGTACCCTAAATGAGGTTCAGTCTTATGTACATTGTCAATGGGCCATTAAATTGACTAAGAAGAAGAACGTTAAAGTGCAATATAAAGGAAGCAAATTTCTTACTTGAAAATCATTTTGTTGAATGCTTAAATTACAAAAGATTGTTGTTAAATCATCAAACATCATCAACACAAGGGAAGAAAGAAAGAGGGGGAAAAAAAAAGAAGAAATATTTTGCCTCTATCAAGGCTCCCACAATTTCATGGTGCAATCTTTACTACTAGTAGCCACAAGATTCCTATGGGGATGATGTTCTATTGCCATCACTTCCTTCTTCTCGTGGATCGGCAGTAAATACTCTATTTACCTAATTGATAATTGAAACAGTACATTTTATTGTCCTCGCCCACGCAGTAAATGTACTCTCCTTTAGGTGATACACAAGCAGCCACAAAATCACCACCTTCTCTTTTACCTGAGAAGAAGCTTTTTACCACTTGCCCTTGCAATGTCATGATATATACATACGAGCTCCTGTTACAAACCACGATATGGTCGTCGGGATTCTTCGGGAAAAGATGGACCGAATTCAAGGCCACGTCGCCTCCTCCGTTTAAGAAAAGAGGCGGCGGCTTGAAAGTCCGCAGGCACTCGGCATTTCTAACATCCCACACTTTCACAGTAAAATCACTGGATGCCGTGATAACGTGATTCCCGTCTCCGGCAAATCTCGCGTCGTTCACAAAAGATGCCTGCCCCCGAAATTCCTTCAGCATTCTTCCGGACTTCAAACCGTGAATTCTGGCGGTGCCGTCGGGAGATGCGCTCAGTATCTGAGTTCCGTCGCGGGAGAACGAAACGCTCGTTACACCTTGAGAATGCGCGCGCTCGAGACGCCTCAAACACTGTCCGCTTCTTATCCTCCAAATCTTAACCTTTCCATCTTCCGAACCCGAAGCCAGCATTTCAGAATCTCTGCTGAAAGCGAGACAATGGACAGCATCATTATGAATCATGAAATCTCCGTTCGCCTGGTACCGGAAGTGATCCTGTGTCAAGAGTTTACCCGGTAATCCATCCCAAACCTCAATCAATCCGTCAGACGAGCCGGAAACGAGAATTTGCCCATCAGGCGTGAACTGACAACACTGAGGATAATTCCTCTTCCTGAACTTAATCACGCGAACGAGCATCGTGGGATGCTTATCTTCGACGTCTTTTGTTCTCATCGCTGCCATTCCTCTAAGTAAATCAAACTGTGTTCCGGGCGGAAGCAATCCCTGATGCTGGTGCCACTTCAAAGCCTGACCTATCAGCACGGTCAACCGCGAAGGCGGAATCACGGAGACGTGTTCTGAGAGAGCTCGGGCGATTTCACCGCGCCTTTTCTCCTTACTCGAATGCTCTGGATAGAGTTCACGGGGATCAAAGTATGGACGAACAAGAAGACGTTCCAGTCTCAAGTATCAATCGGGTTGATCCTGTTTCATGAAAGCTAAGACTTGGGTTTGTCGTAAAACAGCGCGCGTGGTATCTGTTTCCTGAAGTTCGATCATCTCTAAAACAATCTGTTCGTACAAATCTGCCAATAAATTTCTGGGCAGATTCAGTTGTGAGAGATGGGGTATCACAGATTCCCATCTACCAGAACTAACATCGGCCATAAAGGTTTCAAGGTTGTCTACGGAATTTAGAGAAACCCGACACTCGTTTTGAAGTGTCTGAAAAGTATGAGGCAGGGAATTCTCTTTGCAAAATTGAAGAAACAACTTAACTACATCCTGAGCATCGATTTCCAGGGTGGAAGCCATGGATTAATTGATGAGAGATTCAAAACCCCTGTCTTGAAACCCGCTGCCTGCTCTGGCGCGCTAGGAAACATTTTTCTGTTTCTGATGAATTTTCGTTATGGAAGCAACAAATTGGAAAGGGGTTGTGTTCTTTATATATGAAAAAAAGAGGTATATATGAAACAAAGAGGTTACCTCGTGTCAGTGATTGGAATCAGTATGGGAAAGTGGATCAGGGGTTTCTGTGTATAAGATCGATTAGAACTAATCCTCTTTGAATTTGGACACCTTTTTTTCCGAAAAGAAAAGAGTTTTGGAACATTCGGTAAGCGGCTGCAACTGTAAGGGATTTACTCTAAACTCTAGAGGCCAATGCCATCCCACTCTATATATTAAATGGAATATTTGGAGTAACTAGAGGCAGCTGACAATAGATAATTAATAAAGAGGGCAGTACTCTTAAAAAATTTGTACTAGAGGCACAATAATTCAACAACAAAAACATGAATCTAACTCTTGAAAATGTTCTTGCTATTTTCATTTGATTTTTAAACACATAAATTAAGTCTTTCATGAGGATAATATTTTAGTATCAATATGGGAAAAGTAATATATTAGGTGATGAAAAAAATATAATTATGTTGATTTAAAAAAATGAAGGTCAATAATTCTTAGTTTTTGATAGGAGATTTTTTTTCATATAATGTTAACTTTTTTTTCCAAATAAATTTTTATAGCTTTGACATTAGTCAAATTTTTTGACAACCCCTCGTCACACTAGTCAAATATTAATTACCTACTTAATACAATTATTAGTAGGTAAAGTAGCATACAGGGTCGATCCCACAGAGAAGGTTAATAAGTACCAGTTAAAACTATTTCTTATTATTATTTAGATTAACAATTTATCAATTTTAAACTATTCTAAACCTAAAACTAACAATTGTAATTATTTAAAGATATAAATAAGTAAAAGAAAAAACCTAGGGCAAAGGGTTCACCAACCGACTATTCAATTTAATTTAATCTATAGATATGTGACTTTCGACTCTCATTAATCTCACGACACTTCACCAATTTAAGAATTATACACTCTCGTCTCATACCCCTCTTACTTAAACTAGCCCTATTACTAGTCTCGTGACTATAGGGATTAATAAAAGCACATTAAAAACTTTGGAATTACTAGTCGCAAAGGCGGTGTTCCTACTCTCGTGGCTCACTACCTAAGTTTATTATTCCTACAAATTAATACTAGCCTTCCACTCTCTCTACTTCAGCTAGCACCTTAAAGCATGCAAATATTGATCATGTATTCACATGGATGAATAACAAGAATATAAACATTAATTAATAAAAAAGTCACAATCATAACTTAATTTAAATTAAATAGTACGGCGACTACATCCGAAACCCTAGATTGAATAATTTAGCTACACATCATTTCAAACATAAATAAAACAATGAAACCCGCGAGAGAGAACTCGCAAAATTGAGTCCGGAAATTGATCAAATGCTGCTCCTCTTGGCGATGATGGTGCGTAGGTGATGAGGTGCTGGTCGCGTGGAGGCGTGAGGGTGGGGGGGGGGGGGGGGGCTGATGGTGTGTTGCGTGGGAGTGGATATGGAGGCTTGATGGAGTTGGTTTTGGAGTTGGGGGAGAGCTGCGTGAGAAGGAGCAGTCAGCTTTTTTACAAGGTAGAGATATAATAGATAACGTCCTTTTAACACATGTTCTCCGTCAATTCTTGAATAACAAGACAAGAGGTGGAAACTTTATTCTCAAGCTTGATACGTTGAAGGCGTTTGATCGCGTTTCATGGAGATTCCTGCAAAAGGTTATGGATTTAGGTTTTGTGATGGATTTGTGTCACTGATAATGAATAATCTTAGGGATAGCTGGTTCTCGATATTACTAAATGGAAGTCCAGCAAGGTTTTTAAAGCTTCAAGAGGCATAAAACAAGGAGACCCTCTTTCTCCATACCTCTTCATTTTGGTATCGGAAGCATTGACTAGACGGCTTAATGCGCTTATGGAAAGTGGTCGTATTGCAGCTTATAGCATTCCATCCAGATCCTTTGAGGTGTCACATCTAAGTTTTGCTAATGATCTAATCATTTTTATGAAGGGCCTCAAAAAGTCAATGAAACGATTGAACATTTTCTCCCAAGAATATGAAGAAGCCTCAGGTCAGAAAATCAACAAGCAAAAGAGTTTTTTTCTAGCTTCCGAAAAGAGCTCTCCGCAGCATATTGATATGGTTAATAGAGTTTTTCAGATGCCGAGAGGGCATTTTCCTTTTGCGTACCTGGGCTGCCATCTTTTTCAGGGAAGTAAAAGGCTAATTATTTTCAGCATCTTCTTGACAATGTTGATGCCAGATGGTGGAGTGTCAAATCCAAACAAATAAAATAACCTACTTTAAATTACTGTAATATAGGGAAGTAAGGTCGGCTCCTCAGGGAACTATGGATTGTTTCCTTCAAATTAATGCAAAGGAGATTTTTGGATTGTTTTTCTAAACTAAGATAATGAAATACAAATAACAAAAACTAAATAAAAGAAAAGAAATCAAAATAACAAACTTTTGACTCAAGGGACAGATAACTCAATTATTTCATTAATCATAGGCTACTAAAACTACTCTTGCAATTTAAGCATTCAATCAAAGATCTATTAGGATAGCCGTAATAAATCAATTAATCTCCCTAAATTAACTAACCAAGCCTAGCACTCAATTAGTCCTTATCATAATTCGGCTGGGCACGATAGCGTTCCATACCAAACAATGACAGCATAAATACCAAGAAAATAAAGTTGAACCAAAATCTAAACAATTGAGATAGCTACAACTATTCAGACTTTGCCTCATTGATTCCACATTTAAACTAACATGCATATTCAATGTCTCACCAATACACATGCTTTGTCTAATTGCTACTCAGTACTGCCGGTTCGTGTCTATTACGTAACATTCAACTAGCAGATAGCACTAGAAAATAAATAACAAATCAAGTTATCAATTTGAATGATATCTACTTTCATAACTGAATACAAGAATCAATAAAATACTTAAATCATAGGCAAGAACAATAAATTAAGAACAAAACCTCACAATGGAATAGCTGAATAAATCCCTTGAATCAGAAAAAAAAAACTTAACCACTCATAGTTGGAAGCATGATGGCTTGATTCTCCAAGGAAAAATAAGAAAAATTCGGGAAACGAAACGATAGGAGGTGTTAGCCTATGGCTACACACGGCTGCCCCCAAAACATAACTCAAATTCTCTTTATAATAGAAATTGAGGTCAGCCACAGGAAAACAGCAAAGATGGACGAATTGCAGCTTTGGTCTCTCAACTTTGTAGCTTCTTCATTTTTGCCCCAAAACTTTTTCAATTTTGCAAACAGGTCCCTGGACGTCCAAATTTACCAAAATCATCTCCAATCTCTTATTTCTAGCTGCTAACATGAAATAATAAAAAAAATAATGAATTAAATCCATCCGAGTCCATAAACTCATAAAATAATAACAATTAAAGCATAATTTATGGAATCTATCAAATTCCCTCACACTTAAAGCATGTTTGCCCTCACGCATTAAAGAATCCAGAAATTCTAAACTTCAACAAATTCTTATTTAGATGCGCCTCAGGAACTCTAGCACTCAAAAGAAATCATGGTAAAAGCGAAACAAAAATTCACAACCAAGTCAAATATATTTTGTGCTTTTTACCCTTTAGCCCTTTGTGTGTGTGTGTAAACCAGTCCCTAGGGACATCACTATCACACATAGCCTAAAATAAAAAAATTCAAATGCAAATATGCCATTGAAGAGTGAACTTAGGATCCCTAATTCAGACCGTACCTCAAAGCAATGTTACTCCTACACATATTATGAAACCCAAGGCTTATAATTACACCTCACAATATAAAAGTCAACGCACTTTGCTCGTTTCCATTCTTTATTCTCCGTATGGCTTTTCTTCAGGATCTTTCTCACTCAGGCCCCTACCCAGAGCATTTTTCCACTTGATTTATGTAGTGATTTACATAGTGGTTCAGCAACTTAGGGTAGTCTTCTTACTCATATTTTCTCACCGACGGGCCTGAGGACACTCAACTAATTGTTAGCCAAACTTCTCACCTATCAATGGGCTAGCATCAACATTGAATGCTTTTCCTTTTCTCCCTCTTTATATTGTACCTAACCTCAGAAAAGCATACGCCAACAACTCCCTCCCCCACACTTACTTAGTACAAAGTACTTTAAGCAAGAAGGTAAAAAGGCTATTTTCAAACCACCACTCCCCCGTTATTCGAGTTTGAAGTGATGATAGGGTTAATGCCTATTTTTGGGTTTCATAATATAGCAAGGTCCCACATACACATGGTACAAATACTGAATGAATGAAATCGAACTTTGGCATATCGCATGAATTTAAGCAATTACACAAACATGTTAAGTTTATCCCAGAGTTACGGCTAAAGTGCGCAAGTAAAGTATTCAGGGTATAACACATAATGCATAGACTCAAAAGAAGTTTTTGTCCCAATGTAAATAGATTTCTTAGAGTCTCAAGTTAAGTTCATCATCGGCTACTTTTGGTATTTTTCATTTTCCTTGATTTTTTTTTCATTTTCCATTTTTTTCTTCTTTTTTTTATGAAATAAAAACAATGAAACAAACAAATATAAAATAGAAAAGAAACACTAAAATCCCCCCCACACTTAGAACAGACATAGTCCACAATGTAGCAAAAGATATAAAAATGAAGAGCAACACTTCCCTGAAAAATGTTGGTGATGGAGGGTGCGAAACAGCAATTGACGAATGATGATAATTAATTAGCAGAAGAAGCTAGCCAATGATCCAATTGAAGTTTGGTGCGCTCGATTGCAATTTTAAGATTTTGGGTTCCTGGAAAAGAACAGAGAGAAAATAAAACTTAAAAAAAATTTTGGGTTTTTTTCAATTTTTTTTTGAAAAGAGCTCCAGTGTGTTAGACGTGATCAC